AAGCTCTAAGCCAGGGCGCTCTGAGCATCCTTAAGGTACAGGCTGCACGTCCCTTCTGAATGCCCACAGTTTTATTTTTCTAATTAAAAGAGCACGCATGATGTGTGGACTTTTCTTGAATCCTGGTGCAAACAAATTAACTAATTAAAAAAAGAGAGACCAGGGGCGCCCGGGTGGCTCAGTCAGTTGAGCGACTGCCTTCGGCTCAGGTCATGATCCTGGAGTCCCAGGATCGAGTCCCACATCGGGCTCCCTGCTCGGCGGGGAGTCTGCTTCTCCCTCTGACCCTCTTCCCTCTCCTGCTCTCTGTCTCTCATTAAAAAAAAAAAAAAAAAAGAGAGACCAATTGGAAAATTTGTCCACTGACTGCTTGCTTAGTGATACAAAGGAAGGTGTGATAATGGTATTGTGGTTTTGTTAAAAACCAGTGTTTATCTTTTACAGACACATACTGAAGTGTTTACAGATAGTTCAACATCACCTGGGAGGTCAGGGTGGGGTGTAGAACAAGGGTGGCCCTGCCTTGGTTGGTTGTAGAAGCTGGCTGATGGAAACATGGGGTTCATTATTTTCTTTACTCCTATAAATGTTTGAAATTTACAATTAAGAAAAAAATGCATGATAAAAAAACTAGAAAAAACATGATATTAACGGTATTTGGGAAACAGCTATGAATGATTTTTTCTCCACTCTACACATTTTCTGTATTACTTTTATAATGGAAAACATATTTAAAGAGATTCTCTATCTTCTCTAAGTAGGCAGAGCAAGACTGCCCATAATCTACGGAGATCAAAACACTGTGACAAAAGCATTTCCCATCTCTTCACCAGTTAACTACTTTTCACAAACTTTTAGAAAGGTCACTTTGTAAGGATAAGTATGATCTTCATATAAACTAGCCAAGAGCATAAAGGCACATAAGAGAGAAATAAATTAGAGGCAGATTTAACAAATACAACTAACAATACAATTCCTCTCAATAGTTAGAGTTTGGTCAAAGACCTCGATTGTATAATTCTGACTTTCCTAAATGGTCAAACAAGCCACAGGCTAGGGATCTCTTCGGTATGGTGTGGTCAGGTGGGGACTGGACTCAGCCTCAGCTCCCAGGCCAGCTGTCTTCTGTTGGCAGCCTCCAGTTTTCCTCCATGAAACAACAATTATTTCCACATGTACCATGACATGGAAAAGTGTGGGAAGTACTGGCCTAGGCCAGACCTGTCTTGAGCATCACTCAAAAGCCAAATAAAAGTATAATGAGGGGCATTAGTGGTACAATGCAATCTCTTTAAAATGCTGACATTTTAGAATGAACTAACACCCATATTATGGGTTATACCACAATGTTTTAGAAAACCACTGCTTTCTAGTATTTTTTTCTCTATCTGCACTCCCTCTCATGCCCCACTTGGGAAATCTTAAGGTATATTCCAGCAGCATTCAATGAAGTGACCTCCAAATATAAATGTTAGCTCAGTGGCATAAGGTTAAATTCTGGAAACAAGGGTAGAATCCCGATTCTCTGTGCTTATGTTAAATGTATGCAAGATAAGTCTGAAATAAATTTCACTTGTTAAGAAAGTAATGTAAGTGTCAATGGAAAATCTTCAAAGAATAGAAGGTTGGAGCTGTTAAGGATCTTCTTTTAAAAGGCAAAAAACTGAGCCCAAGTTACTTGCTCAGGTTCACAAGCAGCTAAGCTGGGACTAGTCCCCAAATCTCCCAGCTGCCAGTAACGTCACTTTCCAAGACACCTCCAAGGAGCTCCTGCTAATTGCTTCTTTAAATCTAAAACCATAAACCATCCAAGTACTTCCTGCTCTTCAGGGAACTAAACTGTTATTAATCTGCAACTTGCAAATCATTATTTGAGAAGCCAGAATCTAACTTCATGCCACTAATTAATCTTAAATTTGTGATATTTAAACACGAGTTCCTTTATTAGTCACTCTTTGTTTATATTTGTGAAATAAAAAGGTGATCTTGTTCTTGCACAGATCAGGAATAGACTCAAAAACGAATTATCACGTACTTCTTTATTTTTTATTTTTTTGGAAAGTCAAAAACCTTCTTTTATTGGCTCTCAAACTGAGTGAAGCTCTGATATGTTGAGATGATCTTCGACATTTACAGTGGACACCTGTATGTTCTTGCTATGTAAATAAAATTGCTGGTATGAAATGACATTTAAAGTTTTGTCAGTAAATGAATTCTTCCTAACCCTGCTCCCAGACAAAGGTTTAAACTATAGCTTTTTAACATATAAGTCTAATTGGAACAAAATACAGCTTATACTGTATAAAAGTTTTACAAATTTTTTCCTACTAAATTCTCACAATTCACAGAGATATTATTACATCTCGAGTTTTACACATAAAGACAGTGATTTGTTCCACGTAATCCAGGTAGTAAATGGCTGGAATTTCAACACTAAAGCCATGCTTTGCTGCCTGTAAGGTTTTCTAGAAGGAATCAGATTGTGAACCATTTTGTATTTCTGTTTCACTTGGTCCTCAAGGAATACGGTGATATTACCTTGATTTTTCAGATGTGGTCAAGTACTTCTTATCTATGTAAATAAGTCACGTTTGTAGAATGAAGACACCACTAGACATCACTAATGGAATTTTGTTCCTTGTACTGAGAAAACAATACAGACAAGAGGAGTCCCCAACCAAAAAGAGAATGTGACACTGGGGAAGAGGAAAAATGAACTGCCTAAAATAAAATCAACTGAATGAGGAAGAGTAAAGAGGCAATATAGCATTAAAAAACAAAAGACAGATAACATATTTGCATAAATTCTTGTATATGCAGAGAGCAACTCTAAATAACCACAGACCATAAACATTAATATAACTTCTGTACCCATACTGGCTAAAATTGTACTGTGATAACAAGCAAAATCTTTGAATTTTTCAAATATTTCTTTCAGTTTAAAAGAAAAACCTGAAAGTTCCTTCTCTAGAAAAAACTGACCAGTGTTTTTATTCTTAGGCACTATAGTGTGTACCTTGGGGTATCTGAAACCCAAGAACACAAGCTCTCTGTCACCAGCATTGACATCTGAGTTGGTTCCTCATTTGTTTCCCGCCACAGAATGCCAATTCTGCAAGAACAGGTATCATTTCTTGAATGCCATTAAGCACAGGTTAAGGGAGAAACACCCCTTACACAAAACCATAGAAGTCCTATACCTAAAACAAGTTTGTAATTAATGTAACAATATAAATTTAAATCCTGACATTCACATTTCAGAGTCCTCGGAAAAGGAGGCTTCATGTACCTAAGTGCAAGTAATAAAATCAGAACCTGGGTCTGGAGCATACCAGTAAAGGATAGCAATTCTCAACTATTATAGATCTACATCTTACCTGCGAATTTGCAGGAAAAAAAAGAGAGAGAGAAAGAAGTTGTTTCCCAACCTCCCTCGGGATTCTTCGAATTTATATCCTGATCACCTGTCTTATTACAGATACATACACAAGCCTGCCTCCCCACTCTTTACAAATACATTTAATCCTACCTCCATTCTTCAGGTCAAAAACTGACAGAAAGAAGACAATTCAAATGTTCAGGCACATCTAATACACGTCTGTGGTGCACTGCAGCCATCTAAGGAATGAGTATTTCTGAGTTTACTCTGTGCCTGATGTGGGAATTACAAAGAAACCATGAGCGAGTCCTCAAGGGACTCAGACTTCAACAGCAGCTGCCCATGATACATCCTGACCTGTACTCAAAATCAATTCAAACGCAAAGAACAGCACAGTGTAGGGGGAAAGCCGAAGCATAACCTCTTTACTGTTCCCCTAGACTGCAGCATCCCGGCTGATCTGCCTGCTATCAAAGCCCTCTTCTCTTCAATCTGTCCTGCATTCAACTGCCAGATTCATTTCTAGAATTCAAGGAGTCTCTCTCCTGCTCAAGAAGCTTCAAACACTCCTTATTACTTCTAACATCTAGCTCAAACTCTTCTTCGACTTAGGAAGTCTTCTATAGGTTAGCTCCACTCACCTGTTCAACTTTACTTCGTGCCCAATATGGCTCCCTTCTGCCAATCCCTTTCAAAGGGGTAAGTCGCAAACCTAATTCCACCACCTACTCGAACACCTCAAGGAGCCTTCATCTCAGCAGTCTTAAAAAATCGTTTCCTCTAATGTCGGTACAGATCCACTAGTTTTCTGAACATCCCTTCGGAACTCGCCATTAGATTTCTTAACAAATGGCAGGTACGTCCCAAGGTATTTTTCACATTATCACCCCAACCAGAGGTTCATCTTTCCAGCCACCCCTCGCTGAAATCAGAGGGAGTCGCTTGTAGTTTGGGCATGGGAGTTCCAACACTGCACTTTGCAAGAGAGGGAGAGAGGGTTTGGGGCGGTTGCAAAGTAGGGAGGGGGAAAAATGAAGGAAGCATAAAAGGAAGGGAAGGTCCGTGCTCTGTACTGTATTTTCAGTCTTGTCTTTGGAAGGAGCAGGGAGAGCGCAGGGGGCGAGGAGACTCCAAAAAATGAATTCCTGAGGAAGAACAGAAGAAACTCAAGGTGTTCCCTAGGTAGCAATACGGGCTGGGGACCCTGGATAAAGGAAGGGTTCCCCATTACCCCTAGGAGAGAAGGACAGGTTACAACCTGAAACAAAGAGGAGGTGAGGAGTGGAGAACCTACAGAAATCCGGGCATCTCCGAAGGTCGAGCGGCAAGGAAATGAGAGGTGACACGACGCGTCCTCAGGGGACTGGCCGGACACCAGGGATGTGGTTGCCAAGAGGGACGAGGTAGGCGCCGAAGGCGGCTCTGGGGCGAGCGTTTATGGGGCATCGCTTCCACGGGGCGCGGGGGCGGGGAAGTGTTTTTGAGTGGGGTCTTCTCCCACTGGGAGAAACGTTTCCCAGTGCAGTGCTCTGCGAGAACAGAAACCCGGGAGACGCGAAAACGTTAAAGCGTTGAAGAACTGGCATTTCCTAGCCCCAGCCCGGCTTCCCAACACACTCACCGAGTCTCCACCAAACGCCACCGCTCCAGCTGCAGCTACCGGCCGGCGCAGCCGCACTCAGCGCGCACCGCCCCACGTGATTCGGCCCAGACCCCGCCCCCACTCCCCACGTGATCCCCAGGGCCTGCCCATTCCCTCCTCCCTCTAGCCCCTCTTCCGCACGTGGTCTAGACTCGCCCCTCCTTTTTTGACAAGATGGCGGCATCCAGCTGTAACGCGCCGGGCCTGTGGGTCCGAGGTTCCAAGCAGCGTTTGGGGAGTCTCTTTAGTCTCATCTCAAAGCCATTTTGTTCGGTCGCTGCTGCGTCTGGGACCATGAGTGCCCAGCGATTAGCGGAGAAGCTCCGAGCCCAGAAACAGGAACAAAAGACGAAGAAGCAGCCGGTGAGTCCGAAAGGACCACAACTCCCAAGAGGCAGTGCGTTCACCGATTCCCCGGCTGGGCGTGAGGTGGGAGGGTCCTCTGACGGATGTTAAGTAAATGTGGAGACCCTGTGGAAGAATGGGGAGCAAGGGAAGGGAAGAGGTCAGGACGGTACCACATCTTCCTGCGGGCTGGGTCTTTGGCTCCTGCCGGCCTCGACCCTGAGCACTGCGTGGAGACAGGTAAGACAGACATGCACTGCCGCTCTCAAATTATTCGGGGAAGGCGCGAGTCCAATGCAGAGATAGTCATTCCCAACCCAAATTCTCACCCAGACTTACTGAAGGTCTTCACCAGTCATTTCCTGTTGCTCCTCTCCCCGTAGGTGCCCACAAGCCCTGTTCAGCGGAGAGTGCAAGAACTAGTGCGGTTCACACAGCAGCTGCAGCGAGTCCACCCCAACGTGCTTGCTAAGGCTCTGAGCCGAGGGATCGTGCACCAAGACAAGGATCTCGTGGTCATCAATAAACCTTACGGTCTCCCAGTGCATGGTAAGGACCACGTTGGAGAGGGAGGGGTGCTGCTTCTGTTTTCACTGCAATTAGGGATAACTGTGACACATTACTTGTGGGGCTCCTCAAAGACTTGTATTCAAAATAATTTTTTATGGAGTACCATATAAGGCACTGTAGTCCTGTATAAGGCACTACTGAAGACGCAGATTTTATAAAAGACAGTCTCTGCATTCCAAACATTTGGCGGTCAGCAGTGATTTATGGAATTCACTGTGTCCAGACCTCCACGGGAATTTTTATAGAGCAATACTAAGGCTCTGTGGTTCTTGTCTTCATATTATTTTACATCAAAACTGGGAAAGAAGAGGGGCGCCTGGGTGGCTTAGTGGGTTAAGCATCTGCCAGCCCAGTGTCAGGCTTCCTGCTCAGCAGGGAGTCTGCGTCTCCCTCTCCCTCTGCCCCTCCCCCCTGCCCCTGATATCTCTCTCTCTCTCATAAATAAATAAAATCTTCCAAAAAAAAAAACAACCCTGGGAAAGAAGAAATGACCTATAAGAAAAAATATATAGGACTTAATATATTAAGTTTCCGACCATCTCCCCTTCCAACAATGACACCACTATATTTTTGCCTTTATTCACAATTTTCCCACTGTCACTAATTTTCATAAATACTCGATTTTTCGGTCTATAAATCTCTTGTGGATAATGTGTTCTGGTAGTTTATTACCTTCTATAAGTAATGGTATTTCCATATAATGGCTCTGAATTTGCTTCACGTCTCTTTTTTTAACCATGGTGATTTATTGCACATTTTTGTTCACATGATCCAGAGTACAATTTCATCAGTTAAGTCCAGACCAAGGAAAATAGTCCATCTTCATTGAACAAAGATCAGAAAATCTCAACCCACAAGCCCAAAACTGGAGCATAAATCAACCACCTCAAGCCTTGAGTGGAGACAGAATAACCTGAGAAAAATCAGATCTTATACTATGCATGGGCAAGGATCAAATAAGGACCACCTAAACATGCAGAAACTCCAGTCACAGAAACCAATGTGAAAACTGATAAAAAAAAAAAAATGGAGTTCCAGCCAAAGCAAAAATTAAACTGCCCTGTAGAGAGGCCTCCACTACTGAAAACATATGCAGGATCCACATACACACACACAAACACATATAAACCTAGGGGTGCCTGGGTGGCTCAGTCAGTTAAGCATCTGTCTTTAGTTCAGGTCACAATCCTGGGGTTCTAGGATCGAGCCCCGTTGTCAGACTCCCTGCTCAGTGGGGAGCCTGCTTCTCCCCCTGCCTCTGCCCCTCCCTCTGCTCATGCTCTCTCTCTCTCTCAGATAAAATCTTTGAACAAACAAACCCACATATAAACCTGTATAGAAGATAATTTCCTTTAAAGAGTTCTTAGAAATTATAAAATATAGAAGATACTCATGTTATAAAATTTGGATGCCAAAAACTATGTAAGAAATTATGTATTTGTGATACGAACTTAAAAAAGAATAAAAGAAAATATATGTGTGTATGTGTGCGCATGCACAGAGTATACCTAACAAAACCCCAGGACGCCCAGAACTTAATGGACACTGAAATGTTTCTGAATAAATGTTAAATGTAGTTGTCTAAGACAGCTCAAGTGAGACAGGAAAGATTGATAGAAAAAAATGCATTTGGGAAGGGGATTTACTGGGGGAAAAGGCATAGTTGAGCTAGGAGAATGCTTTTTGGGGAGATATGGAGAAAAGCATAAAGACAAGGAATTAAGTCAGACATTGCCAAGTGTTCTGTGTATTTTCCTTTTCTCTCTTGATCTTTTTCTTCCCATTCCCCATGAAACAGTTATTATCTAGATATTTACATTTTATAGATGAGAAAACTGTAAATTGGAAAGATTAAATCATCTGTTCAGGGCCAATGGCTAGTTAGGCTTAGAATAGAACTGAGGAGCATCTCACCTAAAGTCCATCTTCTTAGCTCTTCTGTAATGCCTCAGGAGAGCCTCACAGTCTTGAATTTATCACTCGAGCTTACTTGGCAAATTCTCAAGCCTTTGTTTATATAGTGAAATACCAGACCTCATTTTGATTGCTGATTTTATTGTGAGTATTCAGGTAGATTAATAAGTGTATATATATGTCTGAGGAGAAAGCCACGTGCTCTAGGACAGTGCTTCTTAAACTTTTAATAGGCATGTGAGTCCCTTGGGCATCTTGTTAAAATGCAGATTTTGATTTAATAATCTGGGCTGGGAGCCTGAGATTCCTTTCCAGCAAGCTCCCTGAGCATACTGATGTTGCTAGTTTCTGGACCACATTTCAGTAATAAAGCTCTTGAAAACATTGACTTTCTTCCCAGGTAGGGTTCTTTGGTGGGATCTTTTACTGGCCACTAAAACCTCTGGCTCTTCCCTTTTTAGGTGGCCCTGGGGTCCAGCTCTGCATCAGTGATGTATTGCCTATCCTGGCAAAGATCCTTCATGGCCACAAGGCAGAGTCCTTGCATCTGTGCCACCGGCTGGACAAGGAAACTACAGGTGTAATGGTGTTGGCCTGGGAGAAGGAAGTGGCACATCAAGTCCAAGAGTTGTTTAGAACCCGTCAGGTGGCAAAGAAGTACTGGTATGAAGCCCATCGCTAGTGGTAGAATTGGTATAAATGAAGGCATCCTTTTATCTATTCGTCCATTTGTACGGAAGGACCTCCTATTAGGAGAAGGCACTGTGCTAGGACATGTGAGCATATGAAAAATATAGGAAACAGATTTAAGTGCTTAGAATATTGGAATCTGATAGAATAGTGGCTCCTAATTGTGGTTGTACATAAAAATTATTGAAAACTAATTATACAAGTAGTACATGATTTCATTCCTGTGGTAAAATAGTCAAACAACAAAGATAAAGCAAAAAACTCTTGGAGAATCTACCCACTCTGTCATTCTAGTCCCTTCCCTTGGGATAGTTTGGTTTTTATTCCTCTGGTCCTTACTCAATGTATTTATGAACATGTCTGATAAATACTGGGCGTGTGTGTATTACATTGTACCATGTACACTGTACTTTTTTTAAAAGGATTTTATTAGAGAGCACAAGCAGGGGGAGCAGCAGGCAGAGGGAGAGGGAGAAGCAAGCTCCCTGCTGATCAGAGAGCCCAATGTGGGGCTCCATCCCAGGACCCCTGGATCATGACCTGAACTGAAGGCAGATGCTTAACCGACTGAGCCCCCCAGGTGCTCCAACACTGTACTTTCTTTTACCACTTAACTGTGTCTTAGAGATCTTTTCATGTTAGTGCATATAGGTTTACCTCCATTTTTTTAATAGAAGAAAGATACACTAACAAAACAAACCTACTCCTGTCCCCCATCTACTCAGTTTTCTTCCCCAGAGGCAATCACTATTCTACCGTCTTGTGTAAATTTCCAGGGTCATACAAAGCATGTGTAAGTGAATTATTATATGGCAGTGTATTTTGCAGTGCTTTGCATCCTGCTTTTTTTCACTTGGACAATATATCTTGGAGAGCATTTTACATGTACGTTTAGAGCTTAATAGTATTCTGTTGTATGGTATATCATAACTTCCTTATTGGGATATTTAGTTAACTTCCCATTTTTCAGAGTCTATTGCAAAGAATAGGTGATTATATCTTTAAGACAGATTCCTAAAAATAGGAATCTGCTAAGTTGAAGGGTACACACATTTAATATTTGTTTTTTTGTTGGTGGTGATGGTGGGTTTTTATTTTGTTTTGTTTTGTTTTGTTTTTAAGATTTATTTATTTGAGAGAAAGAGTGAGTGAGTGCGAGCATGAGCCAGGGAAGGGGCAGTGGGAGATGGAAAGGGAGAGAGAATCTCCAGCAGAATCCCAGCTGAGTGTGGAGCCTGACATGGGGCTCCATCCCAGGACCCCCAGATCATGACCTGAGCTGAAATCGAGAGCCAGACACTTAACCAACTGAGCCACCCAGGCTCCCCTCACACATTTCATATTTGGATAGTTACTACTATTAGGTAGGCCAGGTTTTCTCCCACTAGAGTAGTGAGGACCTGCCTCCCCTTATAGCTGACCAACACATTTTTTGGGTTTGCCACTATGATGACAAAAAAAAATGTTTTTCCCTGTGTACTAGTGATGTTATTTG